GTCCTGAGTTTCAAGAACTCCGAGAGGTAGATCTCTCACAGACAAAAAGCATTGCTGGGAGGCAGTTTATGATGACAGGTTATGATACAAACGGTATCACAAGGCTCCTTTCACACTGCAGCTTGAGGAGGGATCTCAAGCAGGTGCTTTGGTGGTAAATGCCTATGTGGCACACATTACCGTAGGACCTTTCCATAGCTAAACTCAACGTAAGCAGAAGCCAAGCCAAACGAACACGCTGTACGCCCACAATAAGACAATCAAACAAACTTTGGTTTGAAGACAAGATTTTTCCATGAATAAGAAATATGAGATGATTTCTGACTAACCAAAACCACTTCCCCTGCTTGGGAACCACCCTGTCACCCAAATAGGCCAATATATCTCTGTAAGATCACAAGCTCTGCTTGTCCAGTGAGGAAAACTTCTCTCTGAAATCTATTATCCCCTCATATTAACTCTCGTTACTCCCAGCCACTCCCTGGAAGAACCAACTTGCTGAAGAAGTGTCAAAATCCGAGGCTGATCTGTGAGGTGACAGATCTGCTATTCACAGCAGCAACGCTCTGGATTGCACAAGCCACTATGGGTACCACAGCTCAAATTAACAGCTGACATCTTCCGATGAGCTGAAAGCATTTTTCAAGAAACCTTTGGAGGCCATAAAGTTTATTTTGCTTTCATGATCTCACAGTCAACTTCAGAAATTCACTTCTGGAGTGGAAAAAAAAAAAAGTTCAGAAAGTCATTTCCAAAGCTAAAACCACAGTTGCAACTTGCTGTGGATTTTAAAGAAGTATTATCCTGGCTCCTTCTTCCCGAAGCACATCCTTTAAAGAGGAGAAGGCACACAACAGGACCCACATACACAAGTTCAGATCAGGAGCTTGGGGAAGCTGGCTCTGAGGTGTGGGAAGCAACTGTCCACCCACTTCTACCCTTCACCCTCCTTTTTCACAAGACACAGTTGGTTTCTTCTTTCTGGGAAGGCTGTTGCATAAGATGTATTTAAAAAAAAAAAACACCAAAAAAACACTGCCAAGAAAAATAATTGCCAGAAAGAAAACTATCGCTTTTTTGTTTCAACTGAAGAAAATCTGGAGCAACATTCACGACTTGGAGCAAGGTTTCTGAGAATTATTCTTCAAGAGATGGATCTATCAACTTCCAGCTGGACACAACAAGACTGTCTTGGTCTTGCAAGAGACAGAGTTTCATTTAAAATGGTCTTGTTACTGGTGATGATGATACAGATTACTCACATGCTGTCTATATTCAAGCCAGAAGCTCCATTTTCACAGAGTACAGCACATGTTTTATTAAAGCACACATCAGAACACATTAAACATTTCTGTTGATCAGAAGAAATCTGAAAAAACTCCAAAACTTTGGAACAGTTATGATCTGGCTATGGATTTCAGGTCTGGTCCCCAGTGAAAGCACACAGTCCCAACACATCTGAGCTTAGAAAAGGTCGCTGTCCCTTTCCAGACTTTGAACAAAAATGGCCCTGTTCGTAATTTTAAGATATCCAGCTGCCCTCGATTTGGAGGGCATGGAGACACGAGCAGGGTTTCAGCAACACTGAGATCAGTTTTGAGCTGTAGACAGACAACTAGAAATGATGTGCTATAGTTAAACTGGCTTCTTATTGCAGCAGAAAGGTGCGTGCACAACTTCTCCGATCTCCTCGTGGGGACCATGTGATGGATTCTCCCAGAAGAACTCTGTCAGATGTCCGGGCACTGTACACGTGCTCTGGTGTCATGTGGCCATCTGGCACCCATCGGTTAAAAAAAATCAGCATGAGGTGTTTTAGCTCATTGGCCCTTTTTGAGTGCTAGCATAGACAAGCGCAAGTGCACGGTCCTGCACCTGGGGAGGAACAACCCCATGCATCAGTACAGGCTTGGGGCGGACCTGCTGGAGAGCAGCTCTGCAGAGAGGGACCTGGGTGTGCTGGTGGACGTCAGGTTGACCATGAGCCAGCAGCGTGCCCTGGCTGCCAAGAAGGCCAATGGGATCCTGGGGTGCATCAAGAGGAGTGTGGCCAGCAGGTCGAGGGAGGTTCTCCTTCCCCTCTGCTCTGCCCTGGTGAGGCCCCATCTGGAGTGCTGTGTCCAGTTCTGGGCTCCCCAGTTTGAGAAAGA